AATCATACTAGTTGCATATCATTTATTTGCAATACTCACTCATTAATGCAAATCTCATCGTGGCATTCAACATACATCTCATGCAAGTGACAACATAAATCACATATGCATCATCGTCATTTATCACATTATACACATACTTGAATATCATATTGATAATATCAAGTCATCATAATCTTTCTCATCCACATCATATTTCATATCATGCATATACTTAAATATCATGCACATTAAATAATCAAGTTATCATCATATGCATATAAACACATCATGCAAATATCATGGATMAAATACTTTTGTAATAATCATGTATATATCCCATAAAAATCGCATAATGTACTCACCWTGAAGTGTTAACGTTCAGTAGGCTTTTCTCTYACAAGYGGCAACCTATATGATGATTATACCATGATATCTCATTAACATCTAAATTTCTCSAAAAAGTCAACAAAAGTCRACTATTGTCATTCTGYCCCAACCTAAAGTCAAACTTCGTATGYGAGCATCTTAGTATACCTCAAACAACTCTAATTGACCTATTATTAACAACCACAWAGGTCAAACRAACCAAAAGTCAACCCTTRGTCAACTTAGTCAACTCCAAGGAGACCAAAGCCTCTGTGGCGACCAGAGCCTCTGGTTGTATTGACCAGAGCCTCTGTGGCGACCAGGGCCTCTRTGGCGACCAGAGCCTCTGGTTGAAATGACCAGAGCCTCTGTGACGACCAGAGCCTCTGGTTGTAATGACCAGGGCCTCTGTGACGACCATACTTAGAGAATAATTCAACATCATACCAGAGCCCCTCTGGTCTCTCTCCCAGAGCCTCTGTGGTCCTACACAGACTCGAAAGCTAAGGTTTGAGACATAAGGCTACTAAGGTCCTACAGAGGACCTAACACRAAGTTAACCAAATAAGGASYATGGGCGATGGTTGAGTGTTTTACCTCTAAATGCAGACTTCGGATGGGGACTTGGAGCTCYGATTTCTCTCCCGATACTTGATGAAATCTTAAGAAGTTTKAATGCAAACTGTAGAGCAAAGTGAATTCTATTTATATGCTGAGGTTTTTGTCGTAATAGTTGAATAATCGGACCAATGGGGAGCTWYAAAGGAGAGGTCGGTATCATATCTCTGAATTGYAGATATTGCAAAAYARGTCSTCCTGTTGGACTTGTTAGTCTCCGACCCGACAGAGGTCACTTTCATACCTCTGCGTCGCAGGTCTGGAGCKTAAGTACAAAACAAACACCCCTGCATTTGCAGGTCTGGTGCAAATTTTACAGAACAGGTCCTTCTGATTTGGACCTGTTTACCTTTGACTCAACCCCTTTAACTTTCGAAATTTACAATCTTTACCCTTGACCCGACATTTTCTTCCACTTAAGGTCCGAACATTAAACTTATTTTGAGATTTTGATTACTACCTCCTCAACTAAAAAATATAAATATTTTATCACCTCAAACGAATTTAATAAATTGAGCATTATCTATATAAAGACCCGTACGATATACATATATATATATATAAATTTTGGGTTTTACAACTCTTCCCCTCTTGAAAGAAAATTTCGTCCTCGAAATTTCAACCTAGCCAAACAATTGGGGGTACTTAGATCTCATCTCTGCTTCAGGTTCCCAAGTTGCTTCGGGGCCTTTGTGAAACTTCCAATGTACTAATACCAATGGAATCTCCTTGTTTCTTAGTGTTTCAATCTTCCGATCCGATATGCGTTCCGGTTCTTCAATGAAGCTTAATTTCTCGTTTATGCTTACCTCGTCCAGTGAAACCACAACATCCTCCTTGGCTAAACATTTCYTTAGATTCGACACATGAAATGTGTTATGAATCCCTTGAAGCTCATCGGGTAATTCCAGTCGGTACGCTACTGCTCCCACTCGGTTTATAATCCGAAATGGTCCTATGTAATGTGGTCTCAACTTTCCTTTCTTTCCAAACCTAAGTAAACCCTTCCAAGGTGACACTTTCAACATCACTTTATCATCCTTTTGAAATTCAATTGGTTTCCTCCTTTTGTTAGCATAGCTCTTTTGCCGATCCTGAGCAACCTTTAGTCGCTCTCTAATTTGGACTACCTTATCGGATGTTTGTTGGATTAACTCTGGCCCAGCTTACTGCTTTTCCCCAACTTCTTCCCCGCATACCGGTGTTCTACATTTTCTCCCATATAACACCTCGAATGGTGCCGCTTGGATGCTACTATGATAACTGTTGTTGTAGGCGAATTCTATTAAAGGTAAGTGGTTATCCCAATTTCCTCCTAGGTCGATAACACACGCCCTTAACATRTCTTCGAGTGTTTGAATGGTTCTCTCACTTTGTCCGTCAGTCTGTGGGTGGTAAGCCGTACTAAGCTTGATCCTCGAACCTAACTCCCGCTGAAAAGCCTTCCAGAAGTTGGAAGTGAACCGACTATCCCTGTCGGAGATAATGGACAACGGTACTCCATGACGAGAGACAATCTCGTCGATATACAACTTGGCAAGTTTATCCAAGGTGTATGTTTCCTTTATTGGCAGAAAGTGAGCGGATTTCGTTAATCGATCCACTATTACCCAAATCGCRTCATGGCTTCGTAAGGTCTTAGGCAACTTCGTCACAAAGTCCATGGTGATGTGGTCCCATTTCCAAACTGGGATTTCCATAGATTGCARTTGTCCATATGGTCGTTGATGTTCTATTTTGACCTTCAAGCAGGTTAGACATTGTTCCACATAGTTGCTGATGGCTCTCTTCATCCCTGGCCACCAATACACGGCTTTTAAATCCCTGTACATTTTGTTTGTACCCGGGTGAATTGAGTATCTCGACTTATGAGCCTCATCTAAAATCATATTCCTACACGATCCAGCTTTCGGGACCCATATTCTACCTTGAAATCGTTTTAACCCTTGTGTGTCATCTACGAGGAATTGGACTTGACCCACGATCCTCTCAGTCTTTTGATTCTCCCTCGTTAAACCGTCCTTTTAGGCCTCTAATAACTTTTCAATTAAACTTGTGGTGGCTCCTAGACTCATTGCCTTTATCTGGGTGGGTGCTACGTGATCCTTGCGACTCAAGGCATCAACTACCACGTTGGCTTTTCCTGGGTGGTAGCGTATTTCACAGTCGTAATCTTTTAGTAGCTTCATCCATCTTCTTTGTTTCATATTTAACTCCTTTTGATCAAACAGGTATTTTAGGCTTTTATGATCTGAGAATATCACACATCGAGTTCTATACAAGTAGTGCCGCCATATTTTCAATGCAAACACCACCGCCGCTAGCTCTAGGTCATGAGTTGGGTAGCGTTTTCGTGATATTTTAACTGTCGTGATGCATAGGCAATCACTTTTTCTCGTTGCATAAGTACACATCCTAACCCTTGATGGGATGCGTCACTATATACTACGAAGTCCTCAGAGCCTTCAGGTAAAGATAAAATTGGGACGTTACAAAGTTTTTCTTTAAGGATCCAAAAAGCGTCCTCTTGTGATGACTCCCATATATACTTGCTTGACTTTTTAGTTAAGGATGTCAGAGGGATGACTATTCTTGAGAAGTCCTTTATGAATCTTCGATAATAACCGACCAATCCTAGGAAGCTTTTTATCTCCGTTGCTGATCTTGGAGTTTCCTATTTCATCACTGCTTCTACCTTGCTTGGGTCGACCATGATACCCTTTTGGTTGATCATGTGTCCGAGAAATTGTACTTTCCGGATCCAAAACTCGCATTTGGAGAACTTGGCGTACAACTTCTCTTTTCTTAGTAACTCCATTACGGTACGTAGGTGACGCTCATGCTCTTCTTTGTTACTTGAGTATATGAGAATGTCATCAATGAAGACGATGATAAAGTTGTCTAAGTAGGGCTTGCATATTCGATTCATCAAGTCCATGAATACCGCGGGGGCATCTGTTAAACCGAAAGGCATGACCACAAACTCGAAGTGCCCATAACGAGTTCTAAACGCCGTCTTTGGGACATCTTTTTCACGTACTCGCAACTGGTGGTAGCCTGAACGTAGGTCGATCTTTGAGAAGTAACTTGCTCCTTGTAGTTGATCGAATAAGTCGTCTATTCGAGGTAGTGGGTATCTATTCTTTATTGTCGCCTTATTCAACTCCTTATAGTCGATGCACATACGCATTGATCCATCTTTCTTTTTCACAAATAGCACTAGTGCTCCCCATGGGGACGAACTCGGTCGGATGAACCCTTTATCCAACAATTCCTGGATTTGGGTCATTAGTTCTTGCATCTCCGAAGGTGCTAGTCGGTATGGTGACTTAGCAATCAGTGTGGCTCCGGGTGTTAATTCGATCCTAAATTCGACCTGTCTTTCAGGAGGTACCCCTGGTAGGTCGTCAGGGAACACATCAGGGAATTCCCGAACCACCGGGACCTCTTCTATAGCTCCCTTTTCTATTTTAGCATCTATGGCGTAAGCTAAGTACGTCTCACATCCTTTACGAATACATCTCCTAGCTTTGATTACTGATATGAGGTTAACATGGTTGCCAGGCCGACTACCGTACACAGTGATCTCACTCCCATCCTTATTTCTCACTCGAATTAGTTTCTTGAAGCAAATAATGTGAGCCTGATGTTTAGACAACCAGTCCATTCCTACGACAACATCGAATTCCCTAATGCCCATAGGTAATAAGTGGACCTCAAAGTCTTGACCCTCAATTTCTATTGTGCAGTTATCAAAACACTCCCGCACCATGGTGATGTTACCATCAGCAGTTTCGACCTCTAAGTTTTGACTAAGTAACGTAGGAGACCTTCCCAATCACATGCAAAACTTAGTGGAGACAAAAGATTTATTTGCACCCGAATCAAATAACACTCTTGCAGGTATTTTGTTGACTATAAATGTACCTGTCACTACATCGGGTGTGTCCTTTGCTTCTTCCGCCGTCATCTGAAAGACTCGACCCTTCACCTTTGGTGCATCCGGCTTCTTCCCACTCGATCCTCCGAGCAACCTCGGTGGCTCTATTTTCTTCTTGGGGCATTCCCTTTGGCGATGTCCGGGATCACCACACGAGTAGCAGATAGGTCTAGCCTTGCATTCTTTTGACATGTGCTCCGGCTTTCCACAAGTAAAGCAAACCCTCTTGCCATACCTGCATTCACCTGGATGGTTCCTTCCGCATGTGGCGCAAGCAGTTATTGTCCCATTCTTTCCCCCAAAGACTTGAGTCCTCTTGAATTTTCCTGGGCCAGCTTGATTGATCTACCTTTTCTTAGATGCATCTAGGACATAACTGTCCTTCTCAGCAAGGGTGGCTAGTTCTACCGCATCTTGAAAGGTAGTAGGTTTTGACATTCCAACAAGCCTCCTAAGCTCCCTTTTCAGTCCGTCAACAAACCGATTTACTTTCCTCATCTCGGTATTCACTCCGCAAATCGCGACTTCTCAATAAAGATCTCCACATATTTCTCTACTGTCATGTTCCCTTGTTCCAATTGTAGGAACTCACTTTCTAATATCCTCAACTGGAGTGGTGAGAAGAACTTTTCGCTAATTAGCTCCTTGAATTCTTCCCAAGTGAGGGATGCGGTTCCAGATAGTCCCTYAGTGGCTCTAATTGATTTCCACCATTGCAAAGCGTTCGATTTGAACTTGGTTGATGCGAACTGCACCATATCATTTGGTGYACAATGACATGTCAGAAAAYAACTCTCCATCTCATCGAGCCAGTTCATARCTRCTAGTGGTCCATTTTTGCCYTCAAAGATCGATGGACCGGTGCTGGTGAAAGATTTGTAACTACATCCCCTACCACTAGGTTTCTTAACTTCATTATGATCGAAGAGTGCCTCTCCATTTGACTCTTCCTGATTGTGGGATTCATTCTTAGATGATTCTTTATCTTTATAGGTTTTACTTTTCGGAGGTTCGGCGTGCTTCAAGTGAGCATCAACCATCTTAAGRGTTGCAGTTTGAATGCATTCAAGYATTCCAGSCAAGGCATYGTGCATACAACGTTCCATCTCCTTGGCGATATCCACTTCTGGGTGTGCGAGCTGAATCGTTGGTCTAATGGGACCGCTCCGGCTTTCAGTTGGAGTTGAAATCACACCCTCGACTCGATTATCTTCACAACCATTAACATTCATCGACCTTGTCACTCTCTTCGACATTCTATAGTAGTGAACATTTCGATCGTCAGCATGCTCATGCATATTATTTTGTTATATATTTATATTGTTATGCGAAGAAGGTAAAATCTCCGTCTTTCTCTTTCTTGCTAAGTGGTTGGGACTCGTCTCATTACTAACCAACCCATCATTAGATGCACAGGACATACATACGATTTGTATTTGCCACTTCATCAGCCAATTTTTTTTTTTTTTTGCCAAAAGCATCATTTATGCAAGTATTAGTTTCCAAATAATTTGGACCAAATACCACATACGAGTAAAAAGGTGCAATATACTTCTCGTTCATCCCTGTAGTCCTAATTTAAGATCTGTTTATTTCTAACCATGATAGGTGCTTTCCTTGCCGTTAGGTTATCAATTAAAGCTTACGTTGGTAATTATGCATACATTTATTACCACTTAATACACTTCTAGATGCTTGGGCCGAATAATAAGAATTTCATAATAAAAGTGACGCACCATGCATTGCTTGTGAGAGAGAAAGTTGTTTACAAAAATTCCTATTACAAAAATTTTGGGATAAGTTGAACATGCCTCCAAAATGTCAACTATCAAAAGTACCCCAAAATGTACTACATCAGCTAAAAGGTAATAGCTAMAAATAGGAAGTGAACTTTTAGATCTCTCTCTTGCAGACAATTCTCACCCCTAGGGCATTTTCGGGAGGTATGGGTCCCTCATCCATTGCTCAAAAGTCATAGGCGGCTGGGAGTGCCACAGTGTGCTAACCCTTGGACCCCTTTTGTAGCACTGGACCCAGGCGGCAAGGTACTCTTTTACAACACCTACATAATGTGCGGTTCCTCTTTTGTAGAATCGAGACCTATCTCCAATACGTCTAGTCCAAGTCCTAACAGCTATTCTCCGCTCTTGCGCTAGTTGCAACCTTAATATGTGTCGTTCTTCCCGCAAGTTATCCCTTTCAGTCAGTGCCCTGAGGTGAGCCCTTTGCAGATTATCAAGCCAGCCTCTCATCTTCTCATTTTCTCTTAAGGACCGGGACAATCTATCCTTCGACTCATCAATCGTTTCCCGAAGGGTCACTATCTTTTCTTCCAAATTGTAGCGTGTAGGAGAGCTTGGCATGTATTCTTCGGATGGCTCATACGAGGTTTCCTCTTGGATCGACCCTTGTGACATCGTATCCCATGGGGGTATTAGGTTGTCACTCGGAGTGCCTCATCCCGAATTGTGTCCCATGTTATGGCTCCCACTAGAACGATGACTATCCATCGATCCAACGTTTGGGCCTAACCCAAAAGGTGTCCTCCGTCCTCCAGGCCCACGCCCGCGCCCTCTCCCCCGGTTGATGGCCCTAGTGTGTATCGTGCGCACCATTTTCCTTCAGTCCATAAGGAAAACACTACGTCATCTATTGATAAAATATCGAACTTCCTTGCAATGCAAAAATGTAACACCCCAAATTCTCATGTTCTAGGATTCTCATAAAGTTTAAGTTTAGGCTAAAAGAAGTCTTAACCTATTTCTCTTAAACTAAGGCTTTGATACCAACTTGTCACGCCCCCATTTTTTTTTCTTTCTATCGAGTGCCGTGACGTCATTCTTAATAACTTATGTCATGAACAAAAATACGAACTTAAAATTTCAAACACACATAATATGTTTAACATAATT